GAGAGAGAGAGAGAGAGAAAATTTTGACATTTTTCGGCGGGGGTATATTCCCACCCCCAAAAATAACATAAAATCAATAATGCTGTGTTTTAGTTCTCCATAATTTTGTTTAACAAGATTTGCAAAAAACAATTCCATGGGCCTTGAGAAGGAGCACTAGCAGTGGAGTGGGGAGCAAGAATGAGAGTTGGACTAACCTCGGGGACTTCGGATTAGACTGCTGAAGTTACCCAACCAACAGATTCATATTTGAATCATTACACACACAGTTGGGATGACCATGATCAGGAAGATCATGATCCTCCCCGTCATTCACATCGGCAATAGTTTGAGCCATTCATATCAGCAGTAGTTTGAGTCATTTTATATATTGGTAATTTTGTTTTCTCTTGTTAATGTGATTATTGCTATAAATGCTGTTATTAGATTCAATTTGGACCACTGAATCCATATCAACCAGTGAAACAGGCCAAAAGTTTTTTGAAACCCAAAAAACCCGTAAGGTTTTTCTTTCTTTTTTTCATATTTTCTCCATATATCCCAAATTTCAAATTTCCCCCTTCTGGAAATTTGTTCTTGTTTTTTTTTCCATTTGTCTCTTGAACTTGGCAAACTAGAGGAGCCTCTGATTGGGCCCTGCCCAAGTTGAGACAGTGCGGAGTTTTAAATGACCATGTTCTCGTGAGCATGAATAAACAACACTGCTCTGCATGAAAATAATGAACAAACTCATGTTGAATAACTTGGAGTAATACTGCTAAGAAATTCTTTCTTAACATCCATGCAGTGCAAATCCCACTTCCCAACAGTCTCAATCAAGAGCCTGAATATTGGTCATCTTTACCACATTGACGAAGTTATCATCTTACTAGGGATATCACTATGATACCTTTACAAACACTCTTTGACCATACCAAACAACAAAAAAATTGAAAGTTTGGTTCCACTCAGGATCCCAATATAAAGAGACTTATTAGCTCCTGAATCAGTTCAATCTGTTCTTTCTGGATATAGGTCTACCTAGAAAGGATATCCTGGTTGTGATCCTACATCTCAACATCCATATGCTGATCATATATGATGCTTTCCATGAAAGGAGAATATCCTATAGATGGTCAAGAAAATAGTGTTCGAGTACTCAGGCACAACATCCATAGCCCATACTTATCCAAGGATAGTGGTGATGAGTTGTCATTCACTATTAAGACCACCTCTGTTTTCAAGTGGGAACAGTAACTCATACCATGTCCGGGGATAAGTGTGGATGGTAAACACGGGGTATGAGAACCCAATACTATAACCAAGTATAGCATACAGTCTGTTCCAAAAATCTGTTTTACGCCAAAGATGCCAAGAAGAAAAGTTTACTTTGTGAACCAGTACGTGATTTTCAAATCCAGAATGACCACTGCACAAAATTACTTTATAAAGGTGTATACATGCAAAATAAAATGTATTTATGAGGGCATTGATGATTGGGGTGACCAATCAACAAGCCTGTCTCAATCTGTTGAGGATGAATGTCTACTATCTCCCAAACTTCATTATATCATGTTCTCTCTCACTCGAAGTTGTAGAGTATTTCTTGTTTCACTTGCTTTAGTTTCTTAATCCAGACATATCCAGAGGCTCCTTCTAAATCATGTTTGCGACAAACTACAACAGATGAATTGCAAGCAACAGATGTAGAAAGCGCTTGAGCCTCGCATTATTAGAACTAAAACAGAGAAGCCACTGTGTAAATTTATCTAAAAGTTGAGTAGACATAAGTGTTAGATGGAGGTAAAACTCCTTAATAGCTAGGTTCATATGACCGAGTCCGGTATTGACTCTAAGAAACAAACTCGCATGTAGCCAACACAACCCCAATGAGACTTGCGATTTCTTACGGCAAAGAATGCCATTTGCACCACCTCTAGCAGAAGAAATATTCATGCATTGGCTTCCTTGTTCTCAGATCATAAATTCATATCATGTTTGTTAGCTACGAAAAGCCTCATATAAACTCAAAGAATGCAAGGTTAATTTGTACAATTCAGGTAAACAAGGCAGCAGGATACCAATAGAGTGGTCTATCCCTAATCTATAAATAGATCTAAAGTTGTCATAATATGAGTATACGTCAATGATAATTTGTTTGTCAGTGATGATGTCGAAATTGGCATAGCGTATCTGAAATTTCAACTGTAGCCAGGACTTTAGGTGGGTTGGTGACAATGCGACGTCTTCCTGGTATACAGGGTCACCTACTCTCCCGAGTAGACATACTTTCCACTGTAATAAAATCCACAAAAGAATGTTAAGTTAAAATGACAGATGAGAAAACAATATATGCAGTACGTGAGCTAATGATAAGTTTTGGCACATGAGAGTGATCTCCAATAAATTCTAAATAATATCTTGAAGTATTCAAACTACCCTCAACTACCATCAACGCCTTAGAGAAGCCACAGAGGAACTTTCTTTGGATAAACCAATAAAACAGAAAACACCCAAACCTGGCAAAATGAAACATCATTTGTAAATGTAAGAGCAAAGGTGGACCTGGTATCAAATGTATTATTAGCATGTCCTTACTAGCTAAATTTGGAGGGGAATTGGCTCAGAAATATCCCATGTGGTAAAATTTGAGAAGGAAAAATATCTTTGAAGGCATCACATAGGAACCCCTAGAGTAACAGGAAGGAACTCTTAGGCTTGGAAAACCATACACGATCCTCCCACTTACAATGAGACATAGCCCTTGGGCCTTAGGGAACGAGGGAGTTGTTGAAAGGCCCACCTGGTACCCAATAATAATGGTGATTCACCTACCCTAGAGCTCATGACATGCTAAGAGACAAGGAGTAGATAGAAAAATGCATTAATGGCCATCTGCAAAGGCTCACATAGACTACCAAGAGGCTACTCACAATTGACAGAGCACAAGACCAGGGACTCTGATTGGGTACGCCGATAATGAACGCCATGATCACCTACTCATTTCAGGAAAATTTGTGAGTGACTTATACAATAGTATGGAGGTTGGATACTAATATTAGAGCCGGTTCAAGCATCCCTAACCTCCTAACAAACTGGTTCAAAAGAAAATTTACAAACGGTTACCTCACCAAGTTTGGGAGAGTTTCAATCCCCACAATTCTATGGGTAATTAAGGACAAAAAAAGAACATATGCCATCCTTCCAAAGTGGAAGATTAAAAATAGCATCCTGGGAAATATGCTTATCCCTCCAGAAGATGAAAGTGAGAGAAGCATTTACAGAAAACTGGGAGTATAACTCCCAAGCAGTGTGTGACAAGTAGTGAGGGCCTCATGTACAAGAGATGAGAAAGAGTATATAGACCAATGTATTTATTATCTTTGTACTACTTTTTTCTCCTATCAATACAACAGGCCACGCCCCGCTTAAACTCCTCGCAAGTTTAGATCGACAAATAATTCTGAATAAACAACTGTGGTACATTTTTATACTGTTGTAGAAAACCCCATACACAATTAAACTGTCCATAATAACAAAAAAATTGCTGCTCACGAGGTATCTGATCTATTTGGGGCATTCCTCACAAGAAAAGTTCATTCTCAACATCCACTACCTTACAAGTTGCAGCTTAGAATTTAATTGGAGAGGATGTCGTCAAACTCAATGAACCCTTCTAATATAGTGTGTTTCCTGATTATTCATGAATTGTGAGATCGTAAGGCTTAACTTAGCATTCGGAAAAAAACATTTCTACACTTCATGACTCCACAAGACAGCAGAGGTATTAACATTGAGTTCAGAGATATTGCCATTCGTTCTTGGAGTTACTTCACAGTACGGACTTCATTACAGCTGTTACCGTATATTGTCATATTACTCACATCACATCGTTGTTAATTTGCCATAACAAATGGGATTGTATACAATGAGACCATTTATCTTTATTACAAGGAGGTCACAATTGATACCAGCCATTAGATGACATGAGGTGTTTCACAAAATTCAAGATTTTTTTTTTTTTAACTTTGAGTCTAGTTAATGACACACTCATAACCACCCAATGACACACTCATAACCACCCAATTTGAAATTTAAGGACAAAAATGATTGTTACCTCCTTGTATTAAAGTAAATGGTCTCTTTGTATATTTTTCCATAACAATATCAATTTGTGCCAATGTTTGAAAACACGGATCGTTGGGGCGGACCATTCACCCATAAATTCGTGTCGAATCACTGGATTGGCGATCCAGATCAGGTCTAGATCATTCGAATCGATGATCCAAAAAATGCTAAAAAATAAATAAAAAAAATATTAAAACGGGGTTTTGTGGGATGGGGATTTAAGGGGACTTAAGAAAGCACGAAACACGCTTAAAAGAATATATATATATATATATATATATAAGGGGGGTTTTAGGGGAACCGTGTTGGGAGTTATGACAGAACAGGTTCGGTCCAAACTGAGTCCCATCCAAATTGGCGATCCGGATTGGAAATCGCGGCGTTGTACAACACTGATTTGTTAGACACTCTTGAAGGATCAAGTATCGTGTGAGGTCGTACGCAATTTCTCTTTCTTTTCAATTTTTTTGAGAATTCTTTGTTCTTTTCTATTGAAACATTGGATAAGCATTTTTAACATGGAAAAAGTTTATATAAGGTTGCAACCTTATATTGTTGAAGTAAGGTGCACCTCAAAAATCCTACAGGGGCGATGTTCTAACATAGGAGAACCCTCCAACTGATCATCTTGACCTTGAGATGAATAGAAATGAAGGAAAAAAAGAATTCCAAATCCAAAAAATAGTGCATCTTGTAACAAATTATCAAGACCGTCTATTTTAAAGATTTTGAAGTGTTTCTTGATTCACTCGATCTGTAACATTTTTTGAAATTTTAAATTTTATAACTGCGGAAAAAAAGAGATTTTGAAGCCATCATAAGGTTTTCAAAGCTGAAACGGCATCTCTAAATAAATTTTAGAGGTGCGCCTTACTTCTATAGTATAAGGAGGCAACCTTATACAAACCTCACCCAACATTTCTGGATCAAATGAGCGCGCATCTATGCTGATAATGAATTGAAAAAGACAAGTTCTGTTGTTGGACATATTTGACATGTAAATACTGTTTCAAATGCAAAGTTTCCTCATTTGTTGGAAAGTTCACCCTAGGGAATTTATTTTGTGTGGATTTTCTTGAAGGATATACTTTCCAAAGTGAGAACCACAAATTACTTCCAAATCAATATTGAAAATATCAGTTTTGCCAAACTAGATCTCTGCCATCATAGAATTGTGTAGATGTATTAAAGAACTTTATTTCCAATGTGGCATAAGATCTTAAAGTGCAAAATGAATTAAGTTTGGTATGTGTGCCACACTGCAATAAAGGCGCAGCCAAATTCTGCACAATATTTTATTCAATGTTATCCAAAATGACCAGAATCTTGATTCTCAAGTTTTGGTTTGCACAAACTACTCAAGTTGAGGACATCAGATCAATGTTAGGTCATGAGCTAGTTTGATCTCTCATCAAACCTTAAGCTGATAACATATGCAGATGTAGACTCTACAGTTTGTTAACAAGGCAATCAACTACAAGTTGTTGTATATTCCTAAGAGATAGTTTCATTTCTTGGAGAAGTAAGTTGGATAATAAGTCAGGATAACAAGTCCAAAACCATGATTTAACCTTTGTTCATGGATGTCTTGTCGCTGGCTAGTTGACCACATGTTTCATTGTGATAAATTGTAAAAGGTGTCGACTCTCCTTGCATTCTGGTGCTTCCCATTGTAGTCATATTGACTAGGAATTGATGTGAGAGCTTTTGGGCATAATGAACACAACCCAGTAATTAAGAAGAAGCATGAAAAATCTGGAATTCAATTTGAGGACACGCTTTGACAAAACGCCTGCCAATAGCCAAATGCATACAAAGTAGAAGCCACAAGCGTCTGCATGATAAATTGCATGATGTAATTCTAGAAACACAGCCCACATTACAAGCTTTCACATATATGCATACTCCCACCTGAGTTCTTAGAGAACTGAATCTATTGACCAGCAGTACATTTAAAGCAATTGAGGATAACTGTAAAACTAAGAGCCAAAATATCATCTTCATTGATATCCCCAAGAGCTAACTACTTTTGTATCTCATCAATGTCAGACCACTTTACTATCAGATTCAAAAATAGAAAGCTTTATCAGCCTTAGGTACCAAGAAGGGATTTTTACATGGCTTATGCTGGAAAAAGAGAACAAACTAGTGCCACATTCCATGTCTAGACAGGACTCCTAAAAGTTTAGATGTAATAATCACATATCACTTCCAATATACACGTGCATTTATGTCTGTTTACATCTATGCATGGAGGTAGATTTGCACGTTACGCATGTGAAAAACCTTAGAAGATTCATGTTTTCCTAAGGATTAATGCATCATAAAAATATTCAAATCTAATGAATAGAAATTACTAAACTGAAAAAATATTCCTTACAGAGATCGTAACACCAACTCTCCTCCAGTAGCTTTCTCATTGCCATAAACCCCAAAATTTCAAGCATCCATATGAAATAAAGGCACCCCAGAGTCCAAATTCACTTCCCTTCTACCCATGAGCTCTAAGAACCTATCATTAAATATTAATATAGGGGACTTCTCAATCAATCTAGACCCCCTATAAGCTTCCTTAAGAAATACAGTACTTCTAACTCCTTTGTTGGTCATATAGAATATCCCATGTTGCCTAACTAAACATAATAAAAGCCTACAAGGTAACTGATACTCAGCATGAAAAACATCCAGTTGAGCAGAAGTTAACCTCTTCTCCAGTGTTAAGCTCAGAAGCTCATGAAGAACCGCAACTGCTCGTTTCCTTGCAGCTGAGCTAGCAGGATCAAATTGTCGAGCATTCAAATAAGGAGAAGGAAATGCTAGTTTCTGCCATTTTTGAACTTCCTCTAGATACTTCATATTAGGCCTAAAGCCAAGTGGAAAATCCAATTTAAAAGAAAATGGGCCCAAAAAATTACCATCTTTTGATACTGGGACCTTCTTGCCATGACCAGAAACCAAAGAGTTGTCTCCTTTTGAGCTCGCCTCACGTGCAGTGACGGCTAAGTCAGGATCCCACCTCTCTAACAGAACGTAGTCCCTTCCATTGATCTCATCCAATTTAAAAAATTCTGGGTATTTAAGAATTATACCAGAAACATAATTTTCAGGAAGACCCAGTTCCAATCTGATCAAATTGATCTTGTCAAGGGCGACTCGACAATCCATAGACATCATCAAGAGTTTTCTCAGGTTCTTAACAACAATGGGTTCCATGTTTTCTCTCACCTTTTCTTCGTCCTTCGCCAAAGTTAGTACTTTATCAGTTAATTCCAACACATGGGGTCTTCTGTTTCCTCCATGAACTCTAAATATTGATGGGTACCTCTCAATTATAGACATGAAGTTCCATTTTTGAATGACACCCACTTCTTTTTCCAGGTCTCTAAGGAGAATGCAGTGCTTCTTCTGTTTAAAGACGATGTCTTTGAGGTGTAGAATGAGAGAAGGCTTCTTTTGCAGCTCCATGACCCTATCCAGTTCAGGGACTCTGTGATAGATTTTCTTCTTGGGTCTTTTGTTGCAGGATTTGTGTCTCTTTTGCAAGAAAGAGAAAGAGCCATGATCATATGTAACTGTGTCCGCAAAAGCAACCCAAATGCCAGTTCTTGTTAGAGATACACAGTGTTTTTTCAGAGTAGCCATTCAGGCTCTTGGTAGTGAGAGATGTTATTTATTTAGTAAGCTGTGGTACTTTTGATACACTGATGTAGTCCTCTCTCTACTAATCACATACTGTTCTCACTCATCCTTTCTCTCTCCACCGATACAGTACCCATCATATTCCTTTCTCTGAAATTCTTCCAAGGGCAAGTTTGGCCATACACCCCTAGGGCTGTTCGTCCATTGCCATTGTTTGAGTTCATTTATTGACAGAAAGGACATATAAGTCAATACCAAGTACCTGCTCTTTAGCAGGGAAGCCACCTTGCATCAAAAGCCTACTCATCTGAAAGGAGGATGTATCAGTAAGAAGACAGAATGACTACAAAATCAACATTCAGAAATATGAATTGTGATGGAAAATGAAAAATTAACCCTAAGACATGGCACACGATTATGGAAGCTTATTCACTACTAATGTAGGCTCAAAAGTTAAATCATGAATCAAGTGCATGCTCGTAGTAGCAACATGCTGCCTATGGAAACATACTTGATTAAAAATGTTAGAGAGAAACGATCAAAGTGTAAGAGTGATCAACAAATATGCTTAGTACCATATCACATAAGGAAGCCACATGAAATTAAAATGAATTATGGACTTTGAAAATAAAAAGTTTCATCATTTCATGCAAAGAAAATCTCCATCACATTGCACAAGTTGATTTTTGCTAAATGACCTAAGACTATATTCTAGTGAACAATAATTTCATATTCACTGGACACTCCCAAGGTGCATCTCCCCAAGACTTCCAGAAGATGCCAATTCCCACTCTAGGCATCGAAGGAACTAAGGCCAAAGTGTTGCCAATTTTGATTGTCCAATGTCTTTGCAAATTGTAGCCACTAAACTTCACACAAAACCAAACTAAATATTTCCCCAGAGTACAACTTTCTCATTTCGTTTTGAATTTCAGCATACCAAATTTCCCTAGTTTTTCCAGTGCAAATTCATGGAGTTAAAAAACATAAATTCATTCTAAAGTTTTAATTTTTGTAGTTTTTATGAAATAGTTCAGAAAATAAATCGAGGACATTTTAAGCGAAGATTCCTGAAATCAGCGGCTAAATTCAAACCAAATTTTAGCGTAATTTTTCATCCAGTAAACAAATTTTTAATCCAGTAAACAAATTTTGCCCAAAATTTAATCCAGTAAACAAAATAAATAGGACAAAACCCCTAAAAATAAACCCCCCTGGAAAATAAATATTTGGATAACACTCCAATTATTAATTTGTCATCACAAAAAAAAAAATACTAAGAAATGCCACAAAGTTTCACGAAAACCCTTCTCCCAACACATAAAAAGGGATCGGCAACATTATTCAATCTCTGAAGTGAAATTTTGAGATATTTTCCAGTAAACATTCAAAAACAAAGTACATGCATAGAAAACGTCACACATTTCCAGTATAATGCTTATTAGAAAAAATTGAATTACTAAATATTAGGATTAAATGATAGACAAACATAAGAAATCTCAAACATAAGGGATTTTCTGAGACAAACTAAGATTATTTTGAAGTTATTCTCGGTGGAATAAACTGAAGTTATTTTGTACTTATTACTCATAAAATTTCCTGAAAATTCCATCAAACATTGAGGTGTGAATCAAAATGAATACCTCTAAAGCTCCAACAAAAGGATAAAAAATAAAAAATCGAAAGATAAAGATTGTAAAACCATGAAAAAGTACTCAAGTGATCATGAGAAAACATCCAACAAAAAATGCACAGAAATTTATCCTACACTATCCGAATAGAGAAAGAAATTCTTACCTCACATTGCTGCGGAGATGGAGAGAGAAACCCAGTAGTAGTTGCAGTGAAACTGGACCGAGGAGGAACCCGAAAACATGGCCTCCTTGTTTTGAGCGAATATATAGTGCCCCTGCAGGAGTAGAATGTATAGTTGAATAAGAAAGGGAGAAAAACTAGTAAACTTCCATGAGGAAAAAGTTTATCTAAGGTTGCAAGAACATGAACCGGAAATTGGAAGTTACTAAAGAATTATAAATTAGTAGTTCCTGAAGAAGTTCTTGGTTTCTGTGTTTGCTAACATCCCTGAGAAGTTAAGAAGTTTTTGGTTTCTGTGTTTGATAACTTCGTGGGAAGTTAAAGAGTTCCTGATTTCTGTCTTTGATAACCTCCTGGGAATTTAAAAAAGAACTGGGTATCTGTATTGGATTAGCTAAGTAATAAGCAAAATGTAAATGTTAAAATTGAGACATAGATAGTATTTATTTTTTATTAATTTGTAGAATATTATTTTTTGGAATACCATATCAATTGAAAGTAAAGTACAATATTATTTTTCTATAATAACTTGAGCACTACTACATTATTTTTCTATAATAACTTGAGCACTACTTATATTCACTACTGATGCATCCATATCCCAACCTAAAAAATATACGTCATTCACAATTCAAAAATATACGTCATTCAACAATAACCTGTAATAGTTTAAACATACATAATTGAAAATGCAAGCACTAAGAAATCAGCCCATTCAAACACACATGCACAATGCAAGCGATAAGAAATCAGCCCATTCAACAATCACCTGTAATAACTTGAGCACTACTTACACTCACCATTGATGCATCTAAATCCCAACCTAAAAAATATACGCCATTCAACAATAAACCAACATTGTTGTTTGTCCCTTAAAACATTTGTTCTCTCTCTAAGATTATAATGGCACACAACATTTATATGTTATCTATTAAGGCATTTGTGATGCATGTCAAGCAACATTCACAATTCATGCATCCATATATAACCATGTACAAAACCAGTCCATTCAACAATAACCTGTAATAGTTTAAACATACATAATTGAAAATGCAAGCACTAAGAAACCACCCCATTCAAACACACATGCATAATACAAGCAATAAGAAATTAATCCATTCAACAATCACTTGTAATAACTTGAGCACTACTTACATTCACCACTAATGTTCAACAATAACCTTTAATAGTTTAAACATACATAATTGAAAATGCAATTGAATGAACACAACAGTTCAACAATAACCTGTAATGGTTTAAACATACAAATGCAAGCACTAAGAAATCAGTCCATTCAAACACACATGTGGTGGTGAAGGAAAGTCATAGAAAAAAACCATAAACCCATTGGAGGAATAGAAGATGAAAGACATGGAACCAAAGCCCCTGTCAATGGCTTCGACTCTGGCTACACCATTCACAGTTGTAGGTACAAGCTTGTTTACACTACTCTCAACAGTGGCACCACATAAAGCATCGACCATTCCATGGCTATGGAGTCATCCAGAAAATGTTTTACTACAGTGGTTTCGGGAAATCGAGTGAGGGCAGATCTTTTAGAACACAACCACCGGTTGTTCTCTATTAAATATTATGTGTAAAGCATCGACCATTCCATGGCTATGGAGTCATCCAGAAAATGTTTTACTACAGTGGTTTCGGGAAATCGAGTGAGGGCAGATCTTTTAGAACACAACCACCGGTTGTTCTCTATTAAATATTATGTGTACCGGAGGGAAGTTGCAACTGCTGCATTTAAGTTCTATAAAAGGAAAAAGTCATCATCGACCTTATTAATCATGTTTTGAAAAGCAATATCCTTTGGTCACTGAATATTAGTTGTACCGGACCGAAAAGAATATTGGAATCTATTGCCAGTACCAATTGAATTACTGGAAGAAATAATTTATGAGCTTAAAATTTTATAATTAGATATAAAAAGATTTCCAGATAATCCTAATAGTTTTTTATGCCAAAATTACATGTTATGATAAAAATTTAGTTGCACTTTAATTGGATTGTTTAAGACTGCACCTTATAGAGACCAGACCCCTTCATAAAACTCCCTTATAAAGAAATAATGGAAAAATATACAAAGAGACCATTTATTTTTAGTAGAAGAAGGTCTCAATTATTCTTGTCCATCAAATTTTAAATCAAATGGTTGTAAGTGTACTTATGACTGAACTCAAGGCCCAACGAAAAAAATATTAAACTTCGTAACATACCCCAAGCCATCCAATTGAACATCTAATAGCTACGATTTATTGTAACCTCCTTGTATTAAAGATAAATAGTCTCTTAGTATACAATCCCATAGAGAATTTAGGAACGATAAAAGTTTAAATAAGTTTTGCACCTCAAAAACCAACTTGAGAGAGGTATTTTGACGTTAGAACATACTTATCATGTAGACCTAAAGATATATAAATTTATAAAAGTATATATATGTTTGCTATAAAATTATTTACAATCACTTCTAGCTATTAGATATCACATTCAATCATAGTCATTAGATATCAAATTGGATAGCTTGGGTATGTCACAAAGTTTGAGATTTTTTTTTGAACTTATCATGTCGATCGAAGAATTTTTTTTTTAACTTTTTGTCTACTTAATAACACTCTTACAACCACCCATTTTTAAACCTAACAAACAAAAAGGATTGTGACATTGTACAAAAGGTAAATGGTTTCTTTGTAGATAACCCCTTTCCTTTATATAGAATAGTCAACGTTTTCGCGGCAATGGGTTCCAAACGCACCCATTTTACTCAAAATTAGGAAACTCACTCATGTTATTGAATATCACCATGTAGGGCTACAAATTTATCCTGTTTGGATCCTAAATCCAAATTTTTTACCCTATCTGGATCCGAGAATGGATTCAAGATTTGAATACAACAGGTCGAATCCAAATCCAAAATTTGGATCTATAGTAATTCGGATTGGATCCAGATACATATGAATCCGATCCCGATCCAACCCAATTGTTACAATATTTATACATTATTTTATAATATACATATATATTATATAATATTTTTTATTATATATTATTTTATAGATATAAAATAAATTTTGGATCCGATCGGGTCCGGATATAGATCCAGATCATATCTATAATTTTTTGGATTTGAATCTGGATATTCTCGATCCAATCAAATCCTAATCTAGATCTAGATTCCTTTTTCGATCCAAATTTGAATATTGGTGAATTTAGATTCGATCCGACCCGTCACCATGTGCGTGTAAATGAAATGCTAACAGCTATCCATTACCAAATATGTGACACATTCAAGCTATCAAATTTCACATCAAATAGTTGAAAGGAATTGTGACCACCTTGTATAAAAGGTAAATGGTATCATTGTATACAATCCCTTGACTATTATTATCCTTTTGTGATTAATTAATTGTACCAATGGATTAAGGGGGTAAACATTAGTATTTGACACTATAGAAATTTTAATATTTGTTTTTTTTTTGTCAATATTTTTTTCTTGAATTCTTGTTATGGAATTTTTTTTTTTTTTCTGTCAAGTAAAAATCAACCGTTGCTTGCAAGTGGGCTTGAACTTGGGACTTGTTTGGGGTGCTGCAAAATTTGCCATCCTATAACTTTATTTTAGTAGAAATCGATTGAACCAATCATTGAACCTGTTGGAGATTTGGTGCAATTAAAACCGATCTGATTTATGGTCAAACTAATTGGGTTGAATTTTAAAATATAAAAAACATGAATAAATAATTAAAATATAAAATAAATTCTAAAAAAGTTGCCCTCTTATGTTTCACCAATCTAACTAGTCAACACTAGCCAGTCAATTAGGTCAAACACATTTTTTTAACTAATTTTCAACCAATATTAGCTTTTATTTTGGATTAGAGTGGTCAAGGCACTGGTTAATAGTCCGACCAATTGGACGGGCCGGTCCTGTCTGGTCTTGAAACTATGAGAGAGATACTTCCTCCCTTTTCCCTAAAGAATTTCCCTAAATAGAAAAGTTTATACAAGGTTGATAGATTAAAATGTAGAATTAAGATGAATACCTAAAATCCTTTGAAAAATGTTGTTTTGATGTTGGAAATATATCAAATTGATCATCTTGACATTGAGATGTATAGATACAAAAAAAAGAGGTTCGATTACTTAAAATAGTACATCTTACAATACATTATCTGGATACGTTGATAGATCTGTTGGATTTACACTATTTTTTAATTTTTTTTATTTTATAATTAGAGATACAAATAGATTCTCCCACCATCCTAAGAATTTTCAACAAATTGTGTCTCATGACAAAATTTCGAAGGTGCACCTTACTTTGACTATTTACGTTTGCAGCCTTATATAAACGACACCCTCCTCTAATAGTATATTGGCACCTCATTTTGGCATAAACAATATTGAGATCAACGTTTGCAATACTTTATCTGTGTCAAATGTCGACACGACACTTTATGTAACGTAGGCTAGTGGTATCCCAAGGGCAAAAACCTAATACTTTTTAACCTCGATTTTTTGTAAATAAAAATTTCAAAATACACCTATCAACTATTTAACAGGGCATACATTCTCAACTATTTCAAATCATGTGCATTATAATGAGTTATTACAATTAAATAAACTATTAAATATTTCAGCTTTTAGGTACATTTTAACAAATTTCAGTTTCATTAAAGGGAAAGTTACAAAAAAACCCCAATACTACACTTACCATGCAACTTACGCCCAACCCAAGTTATTCTCTCACATTTTTCCCAAAAGTATACTTTCTATGCAAATACTCCCCCAACAAAAAGAGTTCATTTTTTTTTATGGAAATGCCCTTTCCGTACAAAAATAATCAATTTCATCACTTATAAGACCTTCACGTGTGGTACTACGGAAGCGTGCATTGAAACTGTTGGAACGGTAGTACTTCGAGAACATGTACTGTCGAATCGCGCTTTTGAAACTGCCAGAGCGCTATGACTAACAGAATCTTATCTGTCGGAGCAGTCTTTGCAACTGCCGGAGCGACCACTACCGGATCATGCTTTCAAATTGCCGGAGCGATGTGGTACCGCTGGAGCGTGCATTGAAACTGCCAGAGCGGCAGTACTTCCAGAACATGTACTGCCGAACCACGCTTTGAAACTGCCCCGAGCGGCATGACTAACCGAACATCTTCTGTCGGAGCGTTATTTGTAACTGTCGGACCTACCACTGTCGGACCATGCTTTTAAACCACCAGAGCAATGTGGTATTGCTCGATCGTGCATTGAAACTGCCGGAGCGGCAGTACTTCTAGAACATATACTGCCGGACCGCGCTTTGAAACTGCCGGATTACACTTCGAAGTACTACCACTCCGCCAGTTTCAATGTACGCTCCGGCAGTACCGCATGCGAAGGCCTTGTAAGTGGCGAAATTGATTATTTTTGTACGAGAAGGGCATTTTCGTTAAAAAAATGAACTTTTTTGGTTGGGGGTATTTGCATAGAAAGTATAATTTTGAGAAAAAAATGAAAGAATAAATTGCGTTAGGGGTAAATTGCATGGTAAGTTCAGTCTTGGGGTTGTTTTTGTAATTTTCCCTTGATTAAATACACGAGACCTAGTAGAAGCTTCAAAACTCGTATGTATATCCCTTAGCTTTAGTCCAAGTAATGCATATTTTTTATTTATTTATTTTGTTGAGTGTTAAGAGATGGGTATTCATTTATATGATAATAAAAGGACCGGCATATAATAATGCCTTTGCAAATTCCAACACTAAACTGCTTTTTGCTATTATTTTATTAAACTTAAATACCCATCCTCTCATTAATAACCACGTGGGTCAGGTAGGAAAAAGAAACTTCAAAAATTTAAAAATTTGACCACTTAATTTATATCAAAAGAGACTTATAAAGTAGATGTAGTGTACTCCTGCAGGATCACATAGTATATTTACACCATTGAGCAAAATAGCTGCCTTCTTAGGATATATTTTTATTTTTTTATTATAATAATTTGGATCGCATTAGAGTCACCAAATGAATTTTTTTTTGGTAAAAATATAAATTTTCAGTTCTTAAATATTTGAATTTGATTATTTATTTGATAATCTCTGTCTAATTGAAGACGTTATCTTCGAGACAAATATAAAGTACATTTGAAATTTTATTTGGAAAGAATTTATAAAAGGATACAAACCTTATAATGTAAAACCACGAATGCAGCTCAAAAATCCATCGAAAAAGGTAGTTTTAATGTTGAAAATTGATTGATCATCTCAAGGTCGAGATGTATGACCATAAAAAATAAAAAGAGTTTAAGCATCAGAAATAGTGCATTTTACAACATACTATCTACACCGTCCATTTTTAAGATTTTCATATGTTTATAGATCTACTTGATTTTAACTATTTTTTAAATTTAATTTTATAATTATATATAAAAATAGATTTTAAGATAATTTTAAAAATATTTTACATCAAAATTATATACAATGATAAAATTTGAAGGTGCACCTTACCTCTATAGCTACGGATGCATCCGTATGCCAACTGCGCCCTTTTTCTTTTCCTTTTGTTTTTTTTTAACGTTGGTAGCTAGGTTGAAGAGGTTTTACTTGGAGGTCCAATAAATACTCCTATGGGCTTTCAATGAGGGGACAGAGGCTGAGTCTTCAGCGAGCATGTAATATTTTGGCATCTTTTTATGGAGCACGGTTACATGCACCCACATGGTTACGTCGCACAGTTGCCCCTTCAAGCAAAATAGCTATTTGAGCCTTTTATGAAAAATTTTGGATTTTACTTCAGAATCTCTAAATGAATAAATTTTAGCACTAGATTTTGAGTTCCAAACCACTCAGATTTGGCTGTCTAACAATTAGATTGCCTTTATTCAATTGGAAAAGTTTATAATGAGACCATTTATTTTTAGTACAAGAGGATCACAATCAATCTTGATAATTAAATGTGAAAATTGTGTGGCTGCATTTATTCTATTGACCAAGCTCAAAGTTTAAAAGAAATATTTTCTAACTTTGTGATACACCCAAACTATCAGATTTTACATTAGATATTTGTAAGTAATTTTGACCTCTTTGTAGTATAGATAAACAATCTCATTATATATAATCCTTATTCAATTTTAGCACATTGAATTTTTTAAGTACATACAAAGCTTAATCGTGTTGTTTTCCCTTTCTTTGTTGAGGTTGATGGCGGGGTTGAAAGCATGGACAGTATACTCTAGCGGGAGCATATAATCTATAATTATTTTTATAATCTAGTGCATCGCATTGGAGCCGAATGGAGAGCCCAAAGAAATTCTCTCCCTTCATAAAGTTTTTGAAAAGGGTGTGGTGTGTATAGAGTCTCTAAACAATCAAATTAGAGCCTCCCTTCAAATAGTATTGAGAAATGTAATTTTAATATTAAAAATATTTGTAGTAGCCTTAAAATATATTTTCATATTTATTTATAAAATTTAAAGCTTAAAAAATAGTATAGATCGGCCGATCTATGAAAACTTGAAAATCTTGAAAATTGACGGTCCAAAAATATGTTATAAAATACATTATTTTCAAAACTTGAAATCTATTTTTTTCTCATGTCCATGCATATTGACGTCCTTGATGATCGATTTGAAGATATTTAGGCATCACAACAACCTCTTCCGGTGAAATTTTTGAAGTGAACTTAAATTTGATTGTTTAGAGCCTGGCTTTACATAAACTTTTCTCATTTGAAAAAAAGGTGCTGTTTGTATAGAGCCGAGGCTCTAAACAATTAAAGTAAAGCACGACTTTAAATAGAATCAAAAAATATGATTTTAATATTAGAAAATTTTGTGATAGCCTTGAAATATATTTTTATTTTTAATTATAAAATTTAAAATTTTAAAAATAGTGTAGATCGAGCAGATGTATGAAAACTTGAAAATCTTGAAAATTGACAGTCTAAAAATGCATTACAAAATGCACTATTTTCAAAACTTGAAATCAAATTTTTTCTCATGTTCATGCATCTTGATATCGAGATGTTCAATTTGAGGTATTTGAGTATCGACACAACCTCTTTTAGTAAATTTTTAAGTTAGGCTCTAATTTGAATGTTTAGAGCCTTGGCTCTATATAAACTTTTTCCTTTAAAAAATTATGTACTTTCACCTTTTCAACCCCTCCATCACGGCATGTTTTTTTTGGTGTAAATTACACAGAGACCACTCTCACCCTCGTGCCCATATCTCTTAGTCAGTGCGTATCCAATATTAGAAATGCCAAAACAATGCCAAACAGCTCTATTAGGGCATTCCGGCAGTTTAGCTTTTTAAGCCATCTGACATTAGAAGTACCAAACTTATTATAAGTAATTATTAATATTATTTAAATTCTTACAATTTAAACTAGTTAAAAAAATATTTTCAAAAAAAATTCCTAAATTATTTCTAGTTGTATTTTTATTTCAAATATTGATGGAACACTAGGACTCTATGAGAAAGGAGGTGGAAGTGGCACAAAGGAATCATTTCATGCACTATGGAGAGACTGGAAACCTAATCCAACAATCATATCACTAAAAATGGGGGTGGATATGTACCAAATTGCATATAAAATAATATCAAGAAGTGGGTAAATGATTCCCTCATTTATTAAAGGCATGGAATGCGGGAGTCATAAAACAAGGCCATTTCCCAAGTAAATGACCATGTGCAAAGATTGTAAGGAGGCAAGCAACTTTGAATCGTTGATTTTAGAAATTTAAAACAGATGTAGAGAGAGAAAGAAAGAGAAGAGTTAGAACATGGATTTTTTCCAACCTGCCTCGCCCCTTACAGAGATAGACTTTTCGACCCAACCAAACCTGGGAAAGCGATTGATGTCTACGATAATTTAAACACAACTTTTAAACCAAATAGAGAGAGGAGAGAGATATTGCAATTTTAAATGGATGGGCATTGACCATGGGCATTGGATGTATAACATTCAAGAGAGAGAATTAAATTATGAACCCACTTTCCCTAGAGAGAGAGAAAGAAAATTAGTCATTTTACATGGTAGAGAGAGAGATTGCAATTTTACAAGGATGGGTATTTAAGAGAGAGAATGAAATCTTAACCCACTTTCCCTAGAGAGAGAGAGAGAGAGAGAGAGAGAGAGAGAGAGAGTAGTTGT